AGGAGACGGTGAGTTCTAGTCCTGCCTTAGGCATGGAAGCCGGCTGGGTGACTTTGGGCCAATAGCCAGGAGACGGTGAGTTCTAGTCCCGCGTTAGCCATGGAAGCTGGCTGGGTGTCTTTGGGCCAGTCCCTCCCTCTCACCCAACCCACCTCACAGGATTGTTGTTGTGGGGGGAAACAGGAGGAAGCAGGAGTATTTGGTAAGTTCACTGCCCCAGGATATTTCTAAAAATAATAGAGAGAGAGCGCTTTGCGCACACAGCAATAGCAATAGCAGTTAGACTTATATACCGCTTCATAGGGCTTTCAGCCCCCTCTAAGCGGTTTACAGAGTCGGCATATCACCCCCAACAACAATCCGGGTCCTCATTTCACCCACCTCGGAAGGATGGAAGGCAGAGTCAACCCTGAGCCGGTGAGATTTGAACCGCCGAACTGCAGCTTAGCAGTCAGCTGAAGTGGCCTGCAGTACTGCACTCTAACCACTGCACCACCTCGGCTCATCACAGCACTCAAAGGCCGCCCTCGGTCTCAGAGCTGGTGAGCTGAGCCGTTTTTTAGCTCAGCTGAGGGGGCGGCAATCCACTCTTCCGCGCGAATCAGCTGAGATAAAAAACAGGGGGAATCTAGGACAGGGAACGATGGGGGCGGGAGGACCGGGCCAACCAGAGGTGGTATTTGCCGGTTCTCTGAACTAATCAAAAGTTTTGCAACCGCTTCGTCTGAACCGGTCCAAACCGGCTGAACGCCACCTCTGCTCCCGGCCACAGTTGCCATCTGCTCCAAGTTGTGCACCCCGGCTTGTGGTAAGTGTAGAGGTCATGGTGTGTAACCGGGTGCCTTTACCTGATCTCCGAATCAGCAGGTCTCTGGTAGGGACCCTCACCGTTCCCAGCAGGCAATCTTTTGGAGCTTCCCTTGGAGCTGCAGGAGTAAATAACGGGTATGATGTAAACTTTCCATCATCATCATCATCATCGTGAGAATTCATCCCCCTGGAAAGCATCGATATTAGAGCAGGGAACTTGGCTACGTTAAAGGCTTGGGGACTTCAACTCCCAGAATTCCCACAGGCTCGTGACTGCATTTTGGGTGTGAATTTATTATGCCTGGCTCTCGCAGTCACGTGATCGTGATTTATGACGGCTTCACCGAAAACCTGGCATTTATTTCTGGTTCTTTTGACAAAAATGCCCCCATAGCAAACCATGAGCTCGCTTTAACGACCGCGCTGTTTGCTTAACGACGGCTGCAAAAGAAGGTCACCAAACTGACTTGGTCACATGAGGGTTCGTTTTACGACTGTCACAATTTTGGGCCATAATTGTCAGGGTCCGTTATGGTTGTAACCTGAGGACTATCTGTACTAGTAAGCATACAGTTCAGCTGTTCAACTACAGGGAGTCCTTGACTTACAATCATCTGTATAGTATAGTATTAGTATTAGTATAGCATAGCATACTTTACTATAGGTAGCATAGACTAGAGAACAGAACAGAATAGCATAGTAAAATAGAATAAAATAGAATGGAATGGAATGGAATGGAATAGAGTAGAATAGAATAGATATTGGAATGGAAGAATAGAATAGAATAGAATAGAATAGAATA